ACAACGGAAACAAGCCGCAACACAACGGAAACAAGATGCAACACAACGCAATTAGCACAACACAACAGAAACAATACGCAACACAACGTAATTAGCACAACACAACAGAAACAAGATGCAACACAACGTAATTAGCACAACACAACAGAAACAAGTCGCAACACGACGGAAACAAGCTGCAACCCAACAGAAACAAGATGCAACACAACGTAATTAGCACAACACAACAGAAACAAGATGCAACACAACGTAATTACCACAACACAACAGAAACAAGTCACAACACAACAGAAACAAGCCGCAGCACACACAACAGAAACAATACGCAACAACGGAAACAAGCCGCAACACAACGGAAACAAGATGCAACACAACGTAATCAGCACAACACAACAGAAACAATACGCAAAACAACGTAATTAGCACAACACAACAGAAACAAGATGCAACACAACATAATTAGCACAACACAACAGAAACAAGCCGCAACACAACGGAAACAAGATGCAACACAACGTAATTAGCACAACACAACAGAAACAAGTCGCAACGCAAAGGAAACAAGCCGCAACACAACAGAAACAAGCCGCAACACAACGGAAACAAGATGCAACACAACGTAATTAGCACAACACAACAGAAACAAGTCGCAACGCAAAGGAAACAAGCCGCAACACAACAGAAACAAGCCGCAACACAACGGAAACAAGATGCAACACAACGTAATTAGCACAACACAACAGAAACAAGTCGCAACGCAAAGGAAACAAGCCGCAACACAACAGAAACAAGCCGCAACACAACGGAAACAAGATGCAACACAACGTAATTAGCACAACACAACAGAAACAAGTCGCAACGCAAAGGAAACAAGCCGCAACACAACAGAAACAAGCCGCAACACAACGGAAACAAGATGCAACACAACGTAATTAGCACAACACAACAGAAACAAGTCGCAACGCAAAGGAAACAAGCCGCAACACAACAGAAACAAGCCGCAACACAACGGAAACAAGATGCAACACAACGTAATTAGCACAACACAACAGAAACAAGTCGCAACGCAAAGGAAACAAGCCGCAACACAACAGAAACAAGCCGCAACACAACGGAAACAAGATGCAACACAACGTAATTAGCACAACACAACAGAAACAAGTCGCAACGCAAAGGAAACAAGCCGCAACACAACAGAAACAAGCCGCAACACAACGGAAACAAGATGCAACACAACGTAATTAGCACAACACAACAGAAACAAGTCGCAACGCAAAGGAAACAAGCCGCAACACAACAGAAACAAGCCGCAACACAACGGAAACAAGATGCAACACAACGTAATTAGCACAACACAACAGAAACAAGTCGCAACGCAAAGGAAACAAGCCGCAACACAACAGAAACAAGCCGCAACACAACGGAAACAAGATGCAACACAACGTAATTAGCACAACACAACAGAAACAAGTCGCAACGCAAAGGAAACAAGCCGCAACACAACAGAAACAAGCCGCAACACAACGGAAACAAGATGCAACACAACGTAATTAGCACAACACAACAGAAACAAGTCGCAACGCAAAGGAAACAAGCCGCAACACAACAGAAACAAGCCGCAACACAACGGAAACAAGATGCAACACAACGTAATTAGCACAACACAACAGAAACAAGTCGCAACGCAAAGGAAACAAGCCGCAACACAACAGAAACAAGCCGCAACACAACGGAAACAAGATGCAACACAACGTAATTAGCACAACACAACAGAAACAAGTCGCAACGCAAAGGAAACAAGCCGCAACACAACAGAAACAAGCCGCAACACAACGGAAACAAGATGCAACACAACGTAATTAGCACAACACAACAGAAACAAGTCGCAACGCAAAGGAAACAAGCCGCAACACAACAGAAACAAGCCGCAACACAACGGAAACAAGATGCAACACAACGTAATTAGCACAACACAACAGAAACAAGTCGCAACGCAAAGGAAACAAGCCGCAACACAACAGAAACAAGCCGCAACACAACGGAAACAAGATGCAACACAACGTAATTAGCACAACACAACAGAAACAAGTCGCAACGCAAAGGAAACAAGCCGCAACACAACAGAAACAAGCCGCAACACAACGGAAACAAGATGCAACACAACGTAATTAGCACAACACAACAGAAACAAGTCGCAACGCAAAGGAAACAAGCCGCAACACAACAGAAACAAGCCGCAACACAACGGAAACAAGATGCAACACAACGTAATTAGCACAACACAACAGAAACAAGATGCAACACAACGTAATTAGCACAACACAACAGAAAAAAGTCGCAACACAACGTAATTACCACAACACAACGGAAACAAGTCGCAACACAACGTAATTAGCACAACACAACAGAAACAAGTCGCAACACAACGTAATTAGCACAACACAACAGAAACAAGTTGCAACACAACAGAAACAAGTGGCAACACAACAGAAACAAGTTGCAACACAACAGAAACAAGTCGCAACACAACGGAAACAAGACGCAACACAACGTAATTAGCACAACATCGAAATTAGCACAACACAAAGGAAACAAGCCGCAACACAACGAAATTAGTACAACACAGTGAAATTAGCACAAAACAACAAAATTAGTCCAATGCGTTGTGTTGTGGAGATTTCGTTGTCATATAATTTGATGTAGTGAGAATATGGAACTCATATTTGAGGAGGAAATAACTTCTCAGTCTTATTAAGAGGCCCTGAGTAAAAATAGGCAATTTAGTGCAGTTGCTGTTATTTATATAGGCAAAAAGTAAGATGAAATTTTGGCTGTAATGTAAATCAGAGAGTTCTTTATAACATGTATGATGTATGATGATTGTCAGGCGTTGCGGTGGTAATCCAAAAGGGATTTACACACGATGCGGAATGAGCAATAAACACACTAAGAAAATGAAAGAGCACTACCACAACACAATGAACATAACTTCAACACGAGACAAAGAAACAGAAGAGAACTCAGGGTTTAAATACACAGAGGATGATGATTAACAGGAGGGGGAACAGGAGAGGATTAATCAAAAACCACTGTAACAAAAGAAAACATGAACGTGACGGATATATTAAACTGCTTATTGTTATGATCAAAGCTCTGTAGTTTTTGTTTTTGGACCAAAACTAATAATGCAATACAATACACTGAGAAAGATGTCAAAATCATGTAATCAGCCAATAAGTGTTTTGTGTATCTCATACCTACAGACACACTTCCTGTTACATCACCATTGGCATTGCGAGCATTGAGTGTAACGTTTTCAGAGGAGTGCACCAGAAGAGCTGAATCCTGTAATGAAGATGAGAATGGACAAAATGGGCAACTAAATCAATCTATTTATCCATGTTTAAGAGTAAATACCTCTTACCTCTCTGGAATCAATTTCCTGGGCATAGACAGGGAACAAAAAGTCAGATTCTCCCTCCAGTCTCAGTCCATCTTCATTGACCTGCAGGTATCCCATGCCTTCCTGCAACAGCCAACAACACAGAGTGCTTTCTCAGCATCAGTGTGACTTCATGTGACAGCATGCAGTGGCCAGCTGAGATAAAGTGGCTCAACCAAGGGCAAAATCTAAATATGGATTCATTTTTCTATTAAAAATGGATTACATATGTGATCTGAAGTCCTTTAAGGGAAGTTCTCTCACCGTATTGAACCACATGACTCGCAGGATCCAGATCGTTAGGGCAAAGTTCACCACCAGAATGATGAGGAGAAGCAGAACGAACAGATAGAGGCAGCGTTTCCTCCAGCCGTAGATGCCAATCATGTAGATGTACTCATTGACTGGAGCCAGAGCCCCAGACTCATCTGTGGTGGTGAGGTACTGCTCACGCACCATCTGGGAATGAAGATTCGTGGTCAACTACACATTAAAACTACAATTCATGAAAAGTACACAAGATATTTTACAGCCTGAACTAACCTTGCCTTGTCATTAGTCAAATTATCTGATACATTAGAAACTTATTGACCTTGACACACCTTGATTTTTGTTCTGTAAGTTGTTTGTACCACATGACTTTGATTTGGTAAAGAAAAGTTTTTAAATAAGCAGAGAAGCAGTTGTGTGTGTGTGCGTGTGTGTGGTTTTTTCCAAGAAATAAAATGAAAATTCATTTTAATTCTGAAATTAAAAGTATGCTTATCGAAGCAATATGTTCAAATCATTGTATTTATGAATTGCATTTTAATTGCATTTGATCCATGAACTACACGTTTATCAACAACAAATATTGGTAACACTTTATTTTAAGAACCAATTCTCACAATCAACTAGCTGTTTATTAGCATGCATATTACTGGAACATCAGCTGTTTTATTAGTACTTATAAAGCAATTATTCTGCCTTATTCTGCATGACCATATTTTAGATCCCTTAATCCGACCCCATACCTAAACTTAACAACTATCTTACTAACTATTAATAAGCAGAAAATTTGCAGTTTATTGAGGGAAAGCCCTTAATTAATAGTTAATCAGATTCAATGATCTATGCTAAGCTACAGCTAAAAGTGCTACCGCCAGACCCGGAAATCGGCTGAATGGATTAGAAAACGGTAAAACTCAACTGTTTAACTCTAGGGGAGTTGGAAAATTAGCCTATTTTCAAAAATAATGGAGTGTTCCTTTAAGTATGCTAAGTATGCTTGAGTATTCTAGTGTGCTAAATTATTATTCTAAATTACCCAAAACACCCTAGCAACACTACCGTTCAAAAGTTTGTGGATGGTAAAGTCTTCGGTAAGACGTCTCTTATGCTCACCATGGCTGCATTTATTTGATCAAAAACTCTATAAAAACAGTAATACTGTAAAATATTGGTACAATTTAAACAACTTTTTTCCAAAATATAAAGTGTAATTTATTCCTGTGATGCGAAACTGAATTTTCAGCATCATTACTCCAGTCTTTAGAGTCACATGACCCTTCAGAAATCATTCTAATATGCTGATTTCCTGCTCAAAAAAAACAAACAAACAAAAAAAAAAAAACGGTAAAACAGTTGTGATGCTTAAAATGTTTGTGGATTTTTCAGGGTTTTTGGTGAACAGCAAGTTCAAACGAAAAGCATTTATTTGAATAGAAATCATCTGTAACAATATAAATGTGTTTACTGTCACTTTTGATTAGTTTAATGCATCATTGCTGTATTGCTGACCCCAAACTTTCAAACAGTGGTGTAGCAATGTGCTTAACACCACTCAAAACATCTTCAACCGTTTAAAAACATCCTAGTAACCAGCCTCACATTTTCTTGATAACATATAAATCTCATTATATTTGCTGTTTTCTGTCAAAACAGAGATCTCTGAGATGTTTTTTTTTTTTGTCAAGCGAGTGCTGTATGTAGTACAACATTCACTTTAATTTCAGAATCAAATCCTGAGTGAACATGCCATTGTCAGATGAAGGAAAAACTGAAACACAGCCTTCGTGTCTCCCCAGCAACTCATCCAAACATCCCTTGGGTTTGGAGTTGCATGATCCAATTCCCATTCCTTTCTAATCCCTTTTAAAACATAATTACCAACCAGTAATTAAACATTCATACGATATCAATGGCTGCAGAGGATCATTAAAGTCGTACAAGAAAGTAAACATCTTGACTCCATAAGTTGCTCACAGACAGCCTCTCTCTTTCTCTCTCAGGACTTTTTTCCATGAACCCACCCTACTGATGCTCTTTCACTGTTTCCAGTCTCGTCTAAGCTGCCAAGAGAAAAAAAATTACAGCAGAACACCGTCTTTCCAAGCCACCGGGGTCTGACTTTGTTTTTAACAGAGATTCCGAGATCCTCGTGGTGTCAAACCTGGACCTGATCAAATATCAAGAGGACCCAGGAAGACTGAGCGGGCGTGATATTGCTCCGTTTCTGTGGAGTTCTGCTGGAGGATAAACAGTTATGAGGTGGGAAAACCAGTTCTCTGAGGAGCCCAGATAAGAGCTTGTGGAGAGAGGCTGTGGGCAAACATAACAAGCTGTATGAAGCTCTCCCCACTCCATCTAATCTTGCCGTCTGCATAACTCCAGCGCGCCGTAATGCCTCTGCCCTCTAAAAATAGGTCCCAGGATCGTGCTCTCATTTAAAAAAAGAAAAACAACCAAAGTGTTTGAAATAATGATCAGAGTGCAAAAAATATGACTGAGAATTCATATGTTCGGCCTCAGAAGTGCGACTATTTCTTCATTTCAGTGGCTCATGGTAATATTTTAACAACATGAAAAAGGGATTCAAATACAGTTCGGTGCAAAAGTAAGTGCACCCCATTAAAAGTTGTATTTTTATTGGATATGTGGGCATTTTGATACTTTATTTGTATTACATTAATGAGTAAAAGATTATATAATTTACCAAACAACAATGAACAGTGTTTAATCAATGTGATTATAATCAGGTTTACATTCATTCATGCCTCCAGTTATTCCATATTTTCTGTTCATATAAACATTATTAGGCATGAGAAACAAGACTGATATTAAAAAATCAAGTCAAAAATCAAACTTGAATAAAATAATAAGAGTTATAACTTAAAAGTCTGACTTACCCTTGCTGTTTAAGTGTGATCTGACACACTCCTCTGCAGACTTGAATCTGCTTGTGTTACGCAGCAGTGCTCCGATCCGTCTGTCTGTCAAACCCTCAACAGCTGCCTTCCATAAATCTGATTCTGGATCAGTCTCAGTGCAGACACCCCCTCCCTTCCCAAACTTCCTCTCAGGAGCTCACATATCCTTGAGAGGTCTCTACACCTCGCGTTACGCAAACGTAAGGCTTTAATGATCACTTAAGAGTGGATTCATTAGCAAGACCCATAAACACCAGTAGCTAGTTGTGTTGTTTCTCAGAGAGGGAGGGAAGGAGGAGTAGAGAGAGGGGGAAGAAGGAAAAAATGACTGCCAAGAGAGAATTATAGAGCATTTTCTGCACTTGTTTGACTTTTATGCATGTGAGTCACTTTCTAAGCACGAGCTCCGGATAGTAAAACTAAAGTTAGTGGCTTTGCTGATTGAGGATCTGCTTGTCTGTTGGACAGCGAGTCTTTCTCTATAAAGGCGGGTCACACTAAAACAGGACGGAGTATTAATAGCAGAACAGCAGAAGCTTCAGGCTTGTTATGTTCTGAGCTTTGTGTTGTCTCTCTTACATAGTTTACGTAGTTTAGGAGTCAGAATGACTCCTCGTGAAAATGGTTATAAAACAACCACCCAAAACTAATCCAAAAATGGAAATAAAATTTCCAGACTGTTATGATGGATCTTATTAGACATAAATGTTTTAGGACATTGAGGAGATGTGTGCTGATATTTTTTATAAGTAGACTTACCAGACTTATGGAAATAGTGTTCTTTTCATTTGGGCCAGTAAGGAACCACCTACAAACACTCAAAAAACACGTCATAGCTGTAATGTATAGCAATTTTATAGTATAGTGACTTTTGAATGTGCATTGCTCTCATTTTCTTTAAGAAAATCTAGTTATATACAGCAAAAGATTTCTGCAAGATTTTTTTAAACAAAAAGTATCTTATGCTTACCACAGCTGTATTTGTTTGATCAAAAATACAGTTAAACAATACAATTGTGAAATATTATTACAGTTTCAAATAACACCATTTCAGCATCATTACATTCACACGATCCTTGAGAAATCATTCTAATATGCTGATTTGGTGATCAAGTAACATTTCTTATTATTACCAATGTTGAAAACAGTTGTGCTGCTTATTTTTGTGGACTGTGATAAATTAAGGAGTTTTTGATTAATAGAAAGTTCAGAAGTAAAGCATTTATTTAAAATGGAAATCTTTTGTAACATTTATAAATGTCTTTACTATCATGATTTTAATCAACTGAATACATCTACGCAGATTAAAATTATACATTTCATACTAAATAATAAAATATAATGTATTTTTTTTATCTCTATCTTAAAAGGATGCTGATAAGTAAGCATGAGAAACTGTAACTCAGTCAAAACTTAGGCTGGATGGCACACATCCTGTGGTTGGAGGCAGAAGTGTCGGGTCTCGGGTCTGATCACCTGTTTCTTGTTGTCTCTGTGGTTGTGTGTTGTTGTGCGTGGTTGTTTTGACAGCTCGCCACGTGCGCATATGTCAGCATGATTGTTTCCCCGCCCTCCTTGTTATCTGCTCGCCTCTTGTTTCACACCTGGTTCTGGTCATCTCATTAGCTTCCCCTTATAGCTCCTCGTGTTTCTCTGTCTTTTGTCAGATTGTTGTGCGGCTTCATCTCCACTGCCGCGGTTGCGGCTTGTTCCAGCCGCTGCTATCTCCCCATCTGTGGGGTTGGGGATTCCACGTCCACACTGACTGTCCGCGAAGGCGCTCATTGCCCGCGGTGATTTCTCTGTACAATAAAGCCTCTGTTGAACCCGCACCTGAATCCAGCTTCATTTCCGTGACACAGAAGTGTGCAATCATAAGACAAACAGCTGACCACATCCATCAGTATCTGACCCCTGACCTCCCTCTGTCAGCAAAGACAGTGACGGGTTTCATCGCGTTTATTCACCATTCAAGGCAGTCTGTAGCAAATACTATTGCAAACAGAAGAATGTATAATAAAGACCTTACTAATCCTGGTGTTGGTAATGCTAGAAGGCAAATGGGTATCCTTAACGTATTTTACGCACAGTTAGGGAAAAGGTTGTTTGTCGTAAATCAATGTCTACATCTGTAATGATGTATGATAGCAATGTATGAGACATGAGATTAGTCTCATATAAAGTTTCAGATAAAGCATTCTAACAAGTAATTATTAGTATTATTTCCTAAGTAAACTTTTCTGTTGAAAGTATAGGCATTACTCATAAAATACCTGGTAGGTGAGTTTGTCTCTCATTTTGGGGACCCGAGCATGACATACAGGGGGTCAGGAGGATGGATGAGAAATGTGTTCCGTTGTCTTATTTCTCCGGACCTCAAAGATAAACTTTTCCTAGGCCATTGCTTCGAACCCCTATCGTGTTTTTCGTTAAAGACAGGACCTTTCAAAATCTTTACATACTTGATGCAAGAAAATGATATCAATTAGAAGGTATGATTACCATAAGGATATTAATATATTTTTTTACACTTTACATTGATAGTGATAGAGAAATAAACTACTCTAATACTGTATGCTATGCCCGTTTCCGCCACTGAATAAAAAATAAAAGAGGTAATTGCGACTTTTTATCTCACAATTCTGACTTTTTTCTCAGAATTGCGTGATATAAACTCGCAATTGCAAGTTAAAAAGTCATAATTGAGAGATATAAACTCGCAATTCTGAGCACAATTCTGAGAAAAAAAGTCAGAATTCTGACTTTATATCTCGCAATTCTGACTTTTTAACTCGCAATTGTGAGTTTATATCACACAATTCTGAGAAAAAAAGTCAGAATTCTGACTTTATATCTCGCAATTCTGACTTTATAACTCTCAATTGCGAGTTTATATCTCACAATTCTGTGAAAAAAAGTCAGAATTGCGAGATAAAAAGTTGCAATTACCTTTTTTTATAAATTTTTTATTCAGTGGCGGAAACGGGCTTCCATAGTATGCGCATTCTGTTATGTAGCTTATCACCGTTTTCCAAGAAATATTGTTGTCTGTCTCCAGAGGGCGCTTGGGAACTCAGAAACCCGAATCTCTCTTTGAGTCGCATGAAGATATATTTTACAAGTCTTTTAAACTGGTTCATTGAAATGTAATAACTTTAAATATTGGTAACTGAATTACAAATTAAAATGTTCACACAGTTATTTTACACATTCGTTAATATGTAATCAGAAACAACTGTGATTCGTCCATCCTGAAAGCGTTGAGAAAAGAAACAGGTACCATGTGACAGTGCCTACTCGATCTTTTTTAAATTTACACCGTAATAACGATAAATGAGAATTGAACGGAAAAATTAAACATTAAACGATCATTATTATTTAATACCATAGTGCAAAGCCCTGGCCATTAATATTCTGAAATTAATAGAATATGCGCGTCAACCAATCAGATCAGTGCACGCGGCGGGTATGGTGTTATGGGAAATGAAGTTTTCCAACCATCGAACGCTCAAAAGTGTTTATTCGTACACAAAAATACTCCGCAATAGTTATTACTTAATTTTTATATTAAAATAATAATTTGTAGACAGCGTGGTATGCGCTGTTTATAATATTTTTTATTGCTGTTATTTTATATTTTCCCTATGACTTTTTTCATATTCACATGACTGCCCCGCTGACATAGAAGAAAGATGGCGATCTGCAGTGTGTATGTTGTCAATAAGGCCGGTGGACTCATCTACCAGTACGACAATGATGTACCTCGAGCTGAAGTTGAAAAAAACATTCAGCTTTCCGCTTGATTTAGTTTTAAAGATTCATGAGAAGGTGGTTGTCGCATTCGGACAGCGGGACGGGATCAGAGGTGTTGTGCTTGTGTCTTTTGCAGCTTCTCGTACATAACGTGGTGTAGTTATGAGATGCTAGTTCAAATTTTAAAAAATGCTTCTACAAAAAAAGTTTCATCTGCAGATATGGTCTTGTTTAGGGATCTGTGCCTTTGTGCATACGGACATCTGACTGCCAAGTATGGATTGTGTTTTTCAGCAATAGTGTGCACCCTTCATTTACAGAGAAAAGAAGGTCAGGGAAAAATTAATTTCCATGATCTAAATATTCTTAAAAATTCAAGTTTGTTGTCATTTGGAAGTAAGGCCTTCTTGCATTATTATGCTGTTACATTATGATTATATATTCAGTGGCATAAAATGTAAAAATGACAATAATATCGCTTATCGCAATTATTTCTGGGGCAATATATCACACAACAAAAATTTGTTAACGTAAAAACAGGCCTAGTTACAGGTCCATCGCTGCTGTTCAGCATGTGTTTCTCGTGTGCAATGGGTCATGCAGTTCTGTCCATTAACGGGGTGGATGTGAATGGTAAATACACAGCTGAAGGGAAGGAGATCCTGGGATATCTGAAAGATCCTGCCAACTATCCAGTGTCCATCAGATTTGGGCGACCTCGTCTCACCTCCAATGAGAAGCTCGTGCTGGCATCAATGTTTCATTCGTGAGTAGATTTCATTAAACAATAGTTTAACCCATTGCTGTAATGTTGTTTCAAACAGGTATGATGTACTTTAGTCACTGAAACACATTAGTGTTAAGTGTTAGTGAAGCACATAAGTGATGTTAAGGCATCCACTTTTGTGTTCTACAGAACAACGCAACTATGTTATTTATCTTATGTTGGTATGTTTTTATTCTTGTATACTTAAATTGTGTCATACATAAAATACACTGACTGGCCAATAAACCAATCAATCAATCAATAAAAAGTCGCCATTAGGATTTAAATAAGCAAAAACTGAGGAGTCTAGGATGGGATCATTATTGAAGTGATTAATATATTTCTGGCATGTTATATATTTTGCAACAGTTCTTTTAGCCCTAACTGATGCAGTGTGTAGCTTTTAATTTCTTAAACAACCATGTTGGAAGACGAATCCATGTGTATATTATATTCCAAGATGACAATGCCAAGATTTATTGGACCCAAATTGTGAAAATGTGGTTCAGTGAGCATGAGAAATCATTTTCATGTATGAATTGGCCACCGCAGTGTCCTGAGCTTAACCCTATTGAAAGTCTTTTAGGAAGTGCTGGAGTCAACATTACAGAGTGGTTCAACTCTCTCATCTTGGCCAAAAATTAATGCAACTCTTGGAAAGACAGTCC